CTCCTCTCCTCTCAAAATCTCCTCTTTTTCCTCTTTTTCTCCTCTTCTTTGTCATCTTGTTCCCCTTCAATCAGCTCACAGCGTGAGGAAAAAATAATTCTCACCGTTGACAGCGTTATCCTCTTTGTGTGTGTGTTTTGCTTTTTTTGTTCTGCACTGTATCTATCTTCTTTGTGCACTTGGGCGTCAACAACATATCACTCTGTCCAAGGGTGAGATTGCGTCATGTGCGGGACCCGTGCTCTACCTGTGGACCATGAAGGGTCAGCTGTTGACCTGCACTGATACTTCCTCCGGGCCTCAGCCAGACGTCCTGTGTGTCAGCTTCACACAGCGACACGAGTGGGATGCCAAGAACGCCATCGTCACTGGCTGTGCAGATGGCATCATACGGGTGAGTTTTTTTTCTGTGCGTGTAAAAATGTGATGGTTACTGTGTGTATGAGAGTGTATGTCTGTCTTTTTAAAGTCCCTGTCTGGCAGCTCTTTGTAGCACTAATAGATCAGCAGGAGAGGTAGCTTTGTTTTTATACAGTATACTGCACAGTATTCCAATGTAGCAGTCATTATTTTGGTATTAGCCTCTCAGGTAGCAGCTTGGATGTCCATCAAGGTATTAATAACAGCATATGGGTTGTGTGTGTGACTGCATAGAAGCATATGCCGCCTCTATGCAATCAAAGCTGCAAACTCTAAATTGGGCTTCACTTTGGAGTGGGTGCCTATGCCACATGCACAACACACACACACAAATGGTATTATTACTTTATTATTACCTTGAGTTATGGGCTGTGTGCGTGCACCGGTGCGTATGTGAGTGTGTTCGTTATTATGTTGAATTATGTCTGATTTTGCTACTCGTTATGTGTCTCTCATACAGATATGGAAGACAGAGTACACCGGAACACAATTACCTGGCCCTCCAGAAGAGCCTGTGTCCCCAGGGCAAGACCGAACAGAGAGAGACGGTAATGTTACAGACAGTAGGATAGGATATGCATATAGGTATTGTATTTATAACAACACAGATGATGGGAGTGGCTGACAGTAGTGAAACTCTTAGACTAAAATACGACTGCACAGAAAGAAATGATTCTTGTGTTTTGTGTTTTCAAAAAGAACCCCTTTGCTATCTAATTAGATAAATCCTTAAGTGTGAGATGATTATTTTTAACCACTCATCTCCGAGCTAGACAGCGTGGTTTCCAGATGAGAGCTTGTAATGCTTACCCATCCCTCACTAGCATTAGGGCTAGCAGGAATTATGTTGTTATAAAGTTATTAAACATAGAGGCAGTAAACACTGATGAGTAATTCTGCTGACGTGTGTGTGCTTGTATAATTTAGAAAGCAATAATACCCAGATCCAATTTGGCATACGTTGGTTACAGCCTCGCGTCACCTCATAGGAGTATTATGCTTGGTAAATTACATTGAGACAAGTCTTTACGTAACGCTGAAGCGTTTATATTCGAGGGATTTTTCTCCCTTTAACACCTGCTGACCACAGATAAACACTGTATTAATGCACATTTCAGTTTTTTGTGGGGACCGCTGGGTCAGGGTTACAGACAGGGTGGACACCTGCCCTGTGATTCAGTAATAAATGGAGGTTGATGTACTCTGATGATGTATCCACAGTGAGCAACTCATGCCAGGTTAAAGGCTGGAAGAGACATCTGGTGTTATGTCAAGAGCTGAGCAGAAGTCAGGCTGCGTCGCAACGGCGCTACAAGAATAATCCAGCCATCACAGCACTGGCCATGTCCAGGTACAGTAAATATTGTGCACCCACTCACAGCAAAGAGAAGAGCAATTTAGTTTCCACTTCACAACTTAAAGCTAGTTTTAACTCTTTGTTCTAAAGAAAAACATTTAATTTGAAGTCATTAAAACTAATGCACTTCTGGAAATAACTGATCGGAAGCTGAATTCTCACCAACTCACACTGTCATGTGTCGTATTGCATGTATAACAACAGAATACATTTGCATCACATCACTGATTTGAAGCGATTTTCATGTGATTTGAGCACACTCTCTTCTGTGTAGGAGCCATGCGACTCTGTTGGCGGGCGATGCCTGGGGCAGAGTTTTCACCTGGACCTGTGAGTGAGAGGTGGCCTGGTTTAAGACAATCATTGCCTCCAGCCACCATTTCTACACAGCCTTTATCCTCTCAGAGAGACGCTGACACAGGAAATCCATCAGTGTCTCAGGTTTGACACCAGCTGAGCACTGAGACCTGCTGTCTTTCAGTTCAGTTCTGTGTGCGTGTATTCAGGGAGCACTATGTAATATTTGTTTCATTTAAGTCTCAGACAATGTAGAATATTTTATCTCCTTCATAAATATTTCATTCTGTATTTTTCTTTGTAAATACTGAATTTCAACAAATTTCAATAAAACTATTGACCGTTTTTTGCCTAAATCTCCTCCTGTGGATGTTTGTGATTCATCACTGAAATCAGGTTTGTCCAGGGTTTTATTTTATTTTATTTTGGATTTATAAGGTGAAACCAGAAGGATACTAAATTCTCAAAAACTGTCTGGTAAATTTGCATAGAAAACATTCTACCATCCCTTAAAACAATACTTTAAATTAACCCATACTGCACCAGCACAGGTAACACAGGCCACAGCAGAAGCCTTTGGTTGAACTGGGCAGCTTCAAGCTGAAAACGAGAGGAATAATGACGAACAAGAGTGTGCATGCTCAGCCAGTGTTCCCTGAGAAACACAGCTTTTTAAGAGTACTGTAGAGCTGGAGCACTTAATTTCTCACGAACTGCACAACAAGCATCCATTATCATAAAAAGTATGGCATGCACACGTCAGCATTTTTCGCTATGGGGGTTGTAGTGTTATGCTTTGGTTAATGTTTGTGGTATGAACAAGTCAGGATGTTTAGTTAGTTGTAAATAGTTTACTGAACTTTCTTTGTTGTTTTTCACAATGTGTTTTCAATCTGTTTTGTAATGTGGAATTTATGTGAGTATTTGAGCATTTGACTGCTTTTTCATTTATTACCTTTTTCATTTATTATTTAGTACCAATATCCTCCTACAAGTTAACTGTGATCATGTCCAGTGTGTTTTGTGGATAATGTAAAATGTGTTTGGGTCTTGTTGAGGTATCCTTTCTGCTTGTCACAGCTTTTGTGTGTGCGTTTATGGCTAACCAAGGACAAATGTGCCATTTTAGCTGTAGAATCTCTGTAATCACTGTCGGGCCTCTACAACGCACAAGAGAGAGGGTGTGAAACTTAACCCTTTAACACTGATCTTAATCTTCCAGGGGAAAAGTACAATATCGACGCTCCAACATTAATGCACTTATATTCCAATAAATAAGTTACCATTTAAATGATGGTAGATTGACGAGATTGTGGAGGCTTGTTCTCTTTCTGTCTGCCTTTCTTGCTTGCTCTCTCATGCACATGCACCACTCCTCTCTATCATAAAGGAAGAGGTCTCTCTCTTTAACCTTTGTGTGTGTGGCTAATTGTGCTAAGTGGAGTAGCTTAATAGAGTGGAAAATAGTCCTCATAATTTTCCCAGAGAGCGAGCAATGACCTTCTCTAAAGACAACGGCCATCTCCATTTTCTCTACACCGCTGGTTTTATGATATGAAATGTCAAACCATTGGGTTCCTCAGAATAATTAAATCAAATAAATTATTGCACCTAGGCAGAACCATCTTGTAGCCTAACCCAATTATAATGCACTGTAAAGCTAATTATTAACCATGATTACAATTAGTCTAATTTGAATAAATGTAGTCATTAGCGGGTTCATCCTAGTCAGTGAGTCTGAACTGTGGGGGATGATGGTCTCTCTCTCTCGGTCTCTCCCACTCACAGAGAGAAGGGTGTGCATGTGCATCATTCTCTTACTCCATGTGCCTCTATCTCCTCTTCATCCCATTTTTCACACACTGACCTTCACAGAATGGCCGACACCCTTCACCTTTCTCGGGTACTTGAGCATAATGTCTGCTGGTTCCAGGATTCATATTTGCTGTTTATGTCCGTGTCGGGCCGATGGGAGAAGCAGAAGACTCCTTGTGTTGTTTTTGTCCCCTTTTTATGTCCTCTCTTTAAAAAAAAAACATCAAAATCTAGACTAAATATTGCCTCCATCTGGCATACATTACATCATGTTTTATTTGGAAAACATCAACTATTCATCCAACAAAAGAAGTCCCACATGTTAGATTTATAGTAATAGATATTTTGGGGAAAAGGCATATTCGCTTTCATCCCGAGAGATGGGAAGATCAATACCACTCTTAAGCCTGTCCAGAAAATAGGAAGCTACATTCGGCAGCTGCTTAGATGAGAAACGGGGAAATAGCTAGCCTTGCTCCGTCCGTCTACCCCCACCTAAAGAGTCTAAAAACAGGTTGCTGGACTATTTCTTGGCTGTTTCCCCTGGTTGCCTCACAATCTCACCTTGACGACAGAATTTACGGAAACAAAGAAATAGTTTGACACATAACTGTAAAATCCATGAGTTGTTGTTTTTTGTACGGATTTAACAAGCAAGATATTTTCAGTCAGTTAGTGAGCTTTACAGGTGGATTTTGTTACCTTTGGACAGAGGCAGGCTTGCTGTTTTCACCTGCTTCCAATTTTTATGCTATGCTAAGCTAAGCTAAGCTAACTGGCTGCTAGTTGTAGACTTAAATTTACCCGACAGATTTGAGAGTGGTGACGATCTTCTCATCTAACTCTCAGCCAGAGATTAGATGTATTTCCCCCAAATTTTGAACTATAGCTTTAACATGTTACATAACTCTCTCACCTCTAATTTCTCAACGTACCAAATTATTCAATTATTATTATTAAATCAGTTGGCAGTTCCTCGGTAGGCCAGAGATGATGTGACGCTTACAGACCTGTTAAATTATAGATAAATCTGACAAAGTGCAAACCAATCCACGTTAAAGAGATAATTGGAAACAGTATTTATATGAGTCAAAGACTGTACTCTTACACATCAGACCCAGGCATATATTTATTAATTTGGTGTATTAGTACTGTAATTATAAATGCAGTTGAAAAGTGTAACAATGCCTTGTGACACTGCAGTAAGAGAACCTGGACAACAGTTCATTTCCACACAGTCTCCTGAGTTTATACAGAATAGTTAACAGTAAGAGCATTCTTATAAACATCTGGCTCGCAGGCCAGCGATGCCAACAAACAAAACAACAGAATTATAAGACCCCAAAACTGCTTTGCCGGAATGGAACTGCGTCGAGGAAACACAAAACCCTCATTTACCAACAGTTGTAGCGTACTTACAGCCAAAAAATAAACGCTAAATGCCATACTGATAGTTCATAAATATAGTCCTTTGGATGCCACTCTGTACAGTTTGGAGAGCTAAATGTCTGCCCTCACCAGGAGGTCCCACGACACCCATGTGTCCCAGAGCTGCTGTGTTTAAAGCTGTTTTTCCTGAAAGAGGATCTGAGCGTACACAGTGTCCGGGCTGGAGGGTGTGGGGTCAGGACTGGAGGAGGCTGGGGGCTCTGGCCTTGGTCTGACCAGCTCCAGTTCTGCATATGTCAGACTATCCTCCTGTGATACCCGAGTCTGGGGGAGGGAGGGAAAGAGTGAGATAAACTTGAAGGAATTTAAAACAGATAAGGCAAAAGAGGAATTTCATACTATATGTATAAAAAAATATATATAGTGAACGTAGATGTTAAAGGAAAAGATGTATATAGGGAGTGTCTTTTTCAGCAAACAGTAGTATTCTTCTACTCTCTATGGTAAACATTTTTAGCTGTAGAAAGTATGTGTTTACAGGGTTTGCAGGACCTCTTGGAACATTCAGTTTACTCGAAAAACATTTGGTACAATAGGAGTCCTATCCAACATACTCAGATCCTCCTAGCTGCACTAATCCAATCAGTATGTTCGTGCAACAAAAAAAAAACATCTCCGAAAGCTTCATTTCACTACAAAATCACAAGAACGCCATCAGTCGAAATACTGATGATCCTTAGTTTGAGTAGTTTTCTTCTGTATATACTTGTTTGACATTTTTATTGTAGATATAAAACCAATGAAGCACTCTAAATAAATAATTGTGTTTGAGAAGCAATAAAACTAAATAGAATTATCAAGCTCATAACTGAATGAAGAGACGGCAATAAACTCCTGTAGACAATCATGCAGTCGTGAGACAAATTCCCTCTTGCATGTATCTCAATAACAACTCTGCATGAAAAAACATCTTTTCAAATTTTAATAAATACATTTTAAAAGATATATTATGTTTAATAAATGATTTTATGGAAGAAGCGGACGTATGTCTTGTGCTTGTATGTATGGATGAGAACGAGGAGGCTTACAGTGGCAGAACTTCTCAGATGAGTCTTTAACCTTCTGGGCTTCTGAGGTCTCTTTGCAGCAACAGGCACTGAAAAATAGAGACAACCTTAATTGACTCTAAACAACGGCCAGGAGGAAGGAATTCACAAATATTACTATGGTTGAAAGCAAAATTGTCCTTCGCAACCACTTTATGTTAAACCTAGTCAAGGTGTGTTGAGCATTTTCAGCATCAGTGTTTATTTTACCTCAGACAATACACTCAGCAGATACAAATACAGTGTAAAGTTTCATTCTCAGTTTCTTTTCTGCTAGTCTCCCAGTGTCTCTCAAAACCAAAGATGATTTTGTCACGGAAATTGAATTATGCTAGAGATATTATTTTCTGCTTTTATACTTGCTGGATACCTTCATTTACTGTTGTTTTCTTTAGCCACTAATTCTTTTTCTCTGGGCCCCTTCTGACTCTAATGCCTCCCGTGTGTTTGGAATTTGAGAGGAAACTCAAACTGCACACAGAATGACAAGGAATTGAACCAGACTCTTTCATGCTGTGAGGTGACACTTGACCAAAAGGTTAGACTGGAAAAATATAAAAATTTTGGTGATTTAAATCAGAATAAATGTAACTGTGTAAGACATATTCACAGGCTAATGCAGTGGCCAGAGGAGTCATAGTAATGCTGTTAAAAAGCTTTTTTGGTGAACTTTTTAACACTTTTACCTCTCCAGGCCTATAAAAACCGTCTAAATGAAGCCTTCTGAGAAAATTATCTCATTATCTCTGAGGACATTTTAACATTTTAAAGGTCACAAGCCAAAAAGGAAGCACCGGCCTAATGGACCTTTTAAATAAATCCTGCCCTCAAAATGTCACATTACCTTTGGCTGGTATGTGTGGTGGTGGCTCCTCAGGTAGTTTAGGTGGTGTTACAGTTACTCCTCTGTCAGATTTCTGTCTTGTGTGTTTCCTTTGGGCTCTTGGGGAGGAACTGGAGGAACTGCTAGAGCTGGTTACCGTCTCTCCTGAGCTGCATGGAACAGATGAGTTTCAATTACAACTGCTATTAACAATTAAGTCTATTTAAATTTCTCAAAACAGAAATAAAGTATCATCACAACTTAATAATGTTCTGTCAGTTGACTGATTGATTAATCAATTAATTGTTTCAGCGCTAGTTTTAATAAACAACCATACCTGCTTTCCGGACACTTGACCAGCAGGTAACTGGCTGTAGAGAAAGCAGCAGAAAAAAACAAAATCATGTTCACTTGATAATGTAAAAGTTGTCCAGGTATTGTTTTGAAAAGAAAAAAACTGAAACCTAAAGTTACTGTGGAAAAAAATGATGTTTTACCTTTGAGCCTGTGTCTTCTGTGAAAGTACTGGCAAGTGAGCACCAGAGTGAACAGGAAGATAGACAGCAGGCCCAGTGAGCAGAGCAGCACAGCGCACAGATACACATCTACAGAACAAACACCCATAAGCCCAGAAAAAGACATCAGAACAGTGACATTATTAATAGTAAGATCTGTATATGGTAAAGAGAAACAGAAGTAGGGCTAGAGACAAAAACAGTACCTGCAAATAAGCGCCACAGTCCTTCGCTGGTACCATCCTCAAGAGTTAAGTGCACTGGGGGAAAAAAATTTAAAAATCATCAAAGACAGTAAGTTTAGGGTAGTGCCCAGACTAACTTTGTAAACTGACCCAATACAGCAGACGGCTTCAGCGGTTTCCAGAAATATCAAAACTGCTGTCATGAAGGGAGATTCTGCTGTAGCAGCAGCCAAACCCAACACACACACACACACACACACACACACACACACACACAGGACACACACACTGAGGCCTGGCTGTATTGCTGTTCTTGGACAACGTTTGGGGGTTCCCCGCTGCTTTGCATCTACTCTTCCTTTTGTTGGTTGCTTCACAATTGTTTAATGTTGCAATTTTCTTTGTGCAGTTCTTAGTGTGAAAAGAGAACAAATAAGGCAGTTGTGTCAGTGTGTGCCAATGAATGATGGGTTGTGTATAGGTCAGGGGTATTTAGCAAGAGGTTAAGGAGAGTGAACAGAGACTGTGTACATAAATTACTTAGTCTCAACGCCCCATAATGGGTTTTTAATATGTCTTTTAAACACAGGTTGATAAACATATTAATAAGAAATGATAAGATATTAACTCTAATTGACTTCTAGCCTGTTTCCAGACCACTGAACTGCCTGCAAGATTGTCAAATGTGGTCTTGGCCGTTCAGTCTGAATATCACGTTAATTAATGTCAGGGAGTAACACAATGGCTTTTGTGCTGTGACCAAACAAAACTGTATCAGATGTATCAGGCAGTAAAAGCAGCAGAAGACACACAATGGATAACATGACGGACACATAATGTTTTCTAAAATACGTATCTTGCCCTGGAAAGAACAACTTAAAAAAGTTTGATTATAGACATTATAGGGAGGCTTTACAACAATGCAATATAAGAGTCCTGAAATATGCTGTTTTTCTAAACCTTAAAATTTATCATTTTGTTGAAACTACAATAATTACTGAGGGCCAATCTACAATGTTTTATTGGACTGCTTTAAACTGTATGGCGTTCCTGTTATTATGTCCATTCACTGTTGACCACAAAATGGAAAGTTTGCCATGCAGACAAATTGCAGCCGAGTTGTACTCATCTGACGAGGTGACGAGCTACATTTAACAGGCATCTCTTGACAATGTGAGCAGTTAGCAGTTAATGTAAGTAAACCACAACTCTGACCTTTACGCTGTGGTTAACCACATGCTAAACCCCACATCTGATCAGCGCACGCAGCAGGTTAACAGGTTGGCTGTTAGGGAGCTGTTATAGTACAGACTCTCTACAGATGTGTCTACGCAAGCTTTTTCACACCCAACAGCGCCATGTTTATAGGGAAAAAATAATACTGTGCAAAGGTGAAAAACATCAGGTCCAGATTTAGGCTCATCTGCTTCCCTCAAGTTCAGATGTGAGGACAGGACGCAGACAAATGAACCAGGGTCAGAAACCAGAGGCCAGAGAGCAAGACTTCATTTACTGTGCAGATTGTCAACCGACAGAAAAGCAGCAGAAATCACTCAACTCGAAGTTCTGAATTTGGGATTTTAGAGATGGGGGAGAGGATAAACCATCTCTGCCTCCAAGATCTTCTGAATAAGAGTAGTCCAACTATGTCAGTCGGGTGTATGCTTTGTTGTGAGATCTACAGACTGAAATCTTCAGACTGAGGGGTTCCCTGGATTAAAGTTACAACTTCGTTTTCTCTTTGTTTACCCTTATAATGTCAGCTCTTCTGTTTCTGGTTCTGTGGTCAATGCATGTCGGAGATGCCTGAGGTTGTGTGGCTTCCTTAGCGGGACATTGCCCTGAATATAGGGCAGGGCGTTGTCTGATGGCTCAGTCTGACTCAAACCTCTATGCTTTTCTGTCATAAAACTAGTGAAAGGTGAACTGTGCAAATGCATCAGGTGTTGCCACACATAATGTAGCCACACATGCTATAGCAGCATCTGAAAATCTCTATTGAACCCCTGTATCCAGTGCATCCCACAGTGACAGATGACTTCCCTTCCGATCAATCCAGTTAAATCAGAAAAGAGATCAGACTGTGTAAAGAAATATTTATTACTGCATGTGATTTCAATTCTTACTTGTTCAGGTTGTTTATTGTAGCTACATACTGGCACAGACTACATAAGTTCCACTGCAACCGAATTCTCCAGTAAATTTTCTCCTGAGGCTTGCATAAAAGTAAACCCAGGGTGCTGACATCATGTATTTTTCGGAGTTTTGAACGTAGCCAGCTCAGCAACACTCTTACCTTTTTACTCCTCACACTCATACACAGAGAGTGATATTGTTGAGTGTGGTTTGGCTGTGTGAGCTCATTGTTTTGAGATGGAAATGCCAGAGGATTGGGGTCACACTCAAACGCACATAGGCACAACTTACAGCAAATAGCGTAGAGTCTGAAAATACATGCTACACATTTCTGTTTGCCCTTTGTCTTTTAATTAAAAAAAACTCTTGCTCCTGCTTTATTTAGTTATTTCCACTGCCAGATAACGTGGACAGCATGTCTCAGCTGAATGTGTGTGGCTGTTAGGGAATTCCTTGGAAACAAAAATTCCATGGAACATTTTCAGAGTAATAACACTAGAAATCCCCTTTTGTGTTTGATCCTCTCTTGTCAGTGACCAGGGTTGCACAAACACATAGAAAAAAGATACGCTGTTCAAGGCCAAATGGTGTACAACCCAATGCATAGTTTCACTGTTTTGCCAGGTGGTAGATAGATTTGTTTCTCTGTACTTGTCTGCCTGAACCAAGTGAAGGTTAAATCGATGTTAATAAATTCCCTTGCACAGATAGCAAAAAAGGTTAATGCAATCTGACTCCCAAGTCTGCTAGAAATAGTGCAATACTTGAAATTTTGTCTCGTTTCACCACCTTACACTTGATTGGCTTGCCCTCTGCAAGGAGACACCGCCCAGTTATGCTGTAGGGCTTTAACATCTTGCCAAAGGACACCTAGACAAGGAGGATGCTTGCTGAGAAAGGGTCTCAAACCACTAACCACAAGGCAAACGTGATTAGTTAAAAAAAAAACTAACATCTCTCAACTTTCATCCCATTATCAGCCAAAATGGGGCCCTGGGTCTTTGCACAGATAATTGTAACATGGAGAGTGTATTGAAGAACATCTTTGGTTACCTGTCAGCTGTGTGGTGCTGGTACCATTGGACGATGCTCTCCATGTGTTCCTGTGTTTGCGAATCTCCTGAACTCTACAGCTGTAGAAACCCTGATCCATCCCTTTCACGTTTAGAATCCACAGCCGGTACACTTCTCCCTCCGTTTCCTCATACAGACGAAACTTTGGCTGGGGGAAACGACGTGTGTAGTTCCCATACAATTTCATTTTCTTTATGCCCATCTTCACAATCAGAAACTGAGAGGGCTCGGGTGCAGGAGGAGAGGGGGACGGAGGGGAGGGAGGAGGCGCGAGAGTGGGAGCGGAAAGAGGAGAGAAGAACCAGCGAAGGATGAGGACACTGCCGCTCCTCTTCCTCTGAGATACCAGGCAGGAGAGTGTCAAGTTGTCTTTTTCTGTTACCATGACAACGGGCCCGGGGGTCACTGTCACATTCAGGGCGTGACATACCTCTGTTGACAAAAGAAACAAATTTTTTGTTTGGGTGTTGTTGCAAACACAGATCCAATACTTTATTGATTAGGTAACGTGTGTATTATATTACAGTATTATGTATCGTTATGACAGAATAAAATCAAACCAAATATAATAAAACATATTCATTTCACAGAGGACTATGATCTGATAGCTTGTGTGACTCCTCCCTGCTTTTTAAATTAGTAATTAACTAGAGCTGGTAATGTGCCCCGCATGGAAAAAGTCTTCAGTTCATTTTTGCAAGATGTTTGATATCCTGCCAGTTAAACATAATTGTAGCATTTAGACAAAGTAAGTTTATATGCACACCCACAGTGGCTGCTTGGATTTATAGTGTTAGAGCTCACACTATCACTGGTTCTACTTATATATGTCATTCCATCACTGGATGGGAATTCAGTCTGTAACAGCTTGAAAGTGTAAGAGGACTAAGAATGAGAAAACTAAAACATACTTTGTTGTCCCTCTATCTTACTTCGCTGTAGGTAGTTGCGTTTTATTCTGCTGCCAGCTGGGTCAGGTCTGTCTAGAAGAGACATGGAGTCTGGCCACAATATGTGTGATCAGACAGAGAAAGAGAATCTACAGGTGGGAAACATTCATCTTCAGCACGGTACACCCCAAACAAGGCAAAGAGAAACACGACAAGTTAACAGGGACCATCTGGGCTGCATTGCTGGGGTTTTTTCTGTTGATGTTGTTGTTATGTTGGTTGGGGAATCTCCCTTAGGGTCTGTCTTACACTATTTAATGTGACAACAAAAGCAGCAACTTGAGGGACTCAAACTAAACACAAAACTGAACATAATCAAAAGATTACAGGGTAGAAAATATGAGTTGTAAAGTCCACTTTATGTCAATTTTTAGAATGCAAATTATACTGCGGTTTTCTCTGACCACTGAGAACAAACTTACTTAACTGAACCGCAACTGGTTTGATTTTAAACAATTTCCCCAGTTTGCAAGACACCTTTTAGTTACTTCAATATTGACAATAATGTAATAATGACTGCACCCGCCTAATAGCCATTGTTAAGCGGTGTTTTCCTTGTATGTTTGACATTATTGTCACGCCAAAGTTCCATAAGAAACTCAAAATGTATGGTTTCACAGTGGTGTATGTTAGACAACAGATCAAGTTACTACTAAACATTCTCTTACTTTACTTGTTCGCTTTCTTACTGGTGTATATTGCTGTAAACAAGGTAAACTTACCTGTGACCAGAGCCTTAGTCAGGACAAGGACCACTAAAGAGAAGTACATTTTCCACAGTCAGCGAATCCATAAACCCAGACAACTGCACAGCACTTACACAAGCAGCTACATTGAAAACAGAGCCTGACTGCACAACCCACCAGAGCCCTTACCCACCATTAACTCTTCTCCTCTTTCTCCTCTTTTCTGTGTAATATGAAACAGTAAATGCTCTGTTCCCACTTAGAAACTCCCACTCACTCTCCCAGCACTCTCTCTCTCTCTCTCTCTCTCGGACTGTCTCTCCCTGTCTCTCTCCCCTCTCTCTCTCTTTCTCTGTGTGTCCTGCAAAACGTAGGAAATGTCATTTCCTGTGTTCCTGTGAAGACTCTTGGACCGTGGCCCAAAACCCCAGACCTCCAAAGCGATGGTCAAGTCTTGTGGTTTGTATGTGTGTGTGTGTGTGTGTGTGTGTGTGTGTGTGTGTGTGTGTGTGTGCGTGTGCATGTGCATGCCCGTGTCACACTGTGTGTCATTTTGAGGAGCATATACAATAAAGCGCTGAACATGCAATTCCATCACCCAAGTTACTGTCCAGGTCTAGGGATAATCCTCATCCTGCATCTCCCAATAAAGTTTACAAAAAGCAAAGCTGTTGTTCATGTATGCGCGCTGTGGGTTTCTGTGTCTGCATGCATGTGTTCATGTATTTATGTGGATGTGCGTGTGTGTGCTGGGACCTCTCCCTGTCTGGCTGCTGGACAGAGTGGCATGGGCTTGTCTCTGGCTGTGGTTGTCAGACTGTCCCAGCGGTATGAAGCCTGCTGCTTTATTGGGCAGGCTAAACTGCTGAGGCAGGGCTTCTTGCTGGCGCTTCGAGCTCTGCCAAAGCCAAATGGAATTACACAACAGATTTAACCCTTCAGGTTGTACATAGGAAAGCATGAATTCAGTGGAAAATGTAGGTGGGTGGGTTGATAACGCGGTTTAATCCTTTCTAACTTTGACAAAATCTTTTGTTTTTTCTTTAGTACAGGTTGTATCAAAAGAGAGTTGTGTGTGTAAAGAGACTGTGAAGATACATAATGTCTTAGCAACATCTTTTTGTTGGGGTTTCCCTTAAGTTTTCCTTTACATAAGTCTTAAGTTCAAGTCTTTGCTTTACTGGAGGAATCGCTCTCCTCTGCCCTACAGTGGTCAAAGCAGGTTACTGCTTCTCAGGGGATCAACATTACTTGAGTTTACCATGAAACTGGGGAGTGTAAGCAGGCAGTCTCACCACAGCCATGTGCATTTAATCTCAGTTTGTGACTCAAGGCAAATCAAAGAAAACACATTTCACACAGTATTATATCTATCATTGGATCCCATAGGTATAGTAGACGAGGATTTAACCATTTGCATTGATTCGTACAGCAAAAAAAAAAAAAAAACGCATACACACAAAATGTTATTTTCTCTTTTTGTGTTTATGAACTCTCTCGGGACATATAATTGTTCTCTCTCAATAACACGTTGTAATTGTCTTATGCACTCAGTGAAAAGACTCTTCATTTTGATTCATTCAGACCCAGGGTACATTTCATGAGTCAGAACAGGATGCCAGTGACAATAACATTATATTGTTATTACAGTATTTCCAGTAGTAAAATGAAATCAACCTGTAGCAGCAACCTTTATATGTCCCTTTTGTTTATGTATAAGCTTCACAAGGTGATCCTGAAAGACAGTTATTGTGGTGAAAAAATTATTTGGTTGAATGAAGTGTGTTTCTATTGCCTGAATAAGTCCATGTCACACTACTCACAGCAACACAGAAACATTCTCACAAACTTTCAACTTAAAAAATGTACTACCATATGATATTAAACCTTTAAAACAAAAATAATCTCATCACCATTTCTTCACTTTGACACAGTGGTTCAATACACAAACGTTTTACCATCTGCAGATCTTTGATTGACGCTGTGGGCTTAACAATATTTCATGCATCACAAAATGCCAAAAGTAGGATTTCTCCAAGAAAAAAAATAACGAAAACTTAAGCAGACCTGCAAGTGTTCGTAGCAGAAACCAACATTTCTCCAAACTACTTAACACTACTAAACTTGACAAACTGTTGTTTGATGTATGATAACATACCTTTTGGTTTAGGAGGCAACGGGACACTGATCATACTGTATACACAAGAAACATGTCTTAGCTTCTCACATTCAAAAGTCAAATGGAATGGTGAACTTCTCTGTAACACAATAAATAGCTCAACAGCAAATCTCTAAAATCAACAGCAGCAATTTAACAACATTTCACATGAGCTTTTTGAAACTACAAACCAAAAAACATTCTGAGACTATTTTCCCTTGAAAAAGTCATTTACAAACATTTTATTTTATCAAATACTTTGAGCTACTTGTCTGCTTTACATGATCAACCCCTTTTGAGTCAAAGCTACCAGTCTTTCTTCTCACCAGTCAGATAGATCCATAAAATCCTCCAGTTCACTCATTGTTATAATATCACGGGGCTGATACCGTGAGTGGGCTGAGTTATCATTTTCACAAATTGAGCTTCCTGCAAGCTGGCTGTTTGTGTCACACTCTGGGAACGACTCACATGGGCCATGTGTGCTGTAAACTGTGTTGTATGTTTTGTCTGTATCATTAACCGTGTCCATGTATGGAGTCTTCTCTGGGCTGTAGCGATGCTCTTCAGAGTTTTGTCCCATTTCAGGGGCTGGATATCCATAGCTGTGGCTCTCCCTGGTAGGCTGTTGGTCCTGGTGGAGAGTCGCAGGGGCTGATGACCTGTTGTGGTGCACAGAGTTGATAGCTGCGGGTTGGTAGCCTTGTGGATACCCATGGTAGCCTTGATAAAGCACAAGGGGCTTGCCAGCTGGAGAATCCTGGGAGAGGGGCTGTTGTTGGGGCTTGACTTGAATTTGGGGTTGGCGCTGAGGCTGTATGTATGTTTGCTGGGGCTGGGGCTGGGGCTGTGGTCGGGAAGTGCTCTGGGCAGACTCACGCACATTTAGCTGAACATACTTTCCCGTCTCGGGGTCAAAGAAAGTTTTTGTTTTCACCGGAACAGGCACGTCCACAACAAAATACTGACCAGAGCCGAGGTCTTGCAGCACCTTTCGCTGGGTCATTGGGTAGGACTGGGGGTAGCTCGACTCTACATGGTACTGGGTCACTGGAGCTGGGTGGTTGGCATGATGGAGAGTGGGAGAAGAGGGAACATCAGCAACTGTCTTAGGAGCAGCAGGGTGGGAAGCAGGGCCAGTAGCGTGAGGCGAGGTAACAGGGATGGAAATGGGAGCAGTAGCATGTGGTGAGGCAGCTGGGAGGGAGATAGGACCAGTGGCATGAGGGGAAGCATAGAAAGAGCTATGAGAAGATTGGTGCTCTGTGTGGGAGGAAGGCAAGCTAGACCCCAATGCTGGAGCATGAGTGAGGGTGACAGGTGGGGAAAAATGAGGGGAAGCCACAGCATGGCGGTTGGAGGAGCGTACCTCAGTGATGGAAGAGGAGGAGGAGGAAGGAATACCAGAAACCTCTTGAAGAGGTTTCTCAACTGCAGCAGGGCCGTCTGCTTTGGTCAGCTCCTTCTTGATTCTCCGAGTAGTCAGCCGTTTCGCCCTGCGCAATGCTTTCTCACTCTTTGGGGGAACAGCTGGAGGCTTGCCCAGAGAGCGGGACACATCACTGCTGAAGCTGCAGGCTGATTCTGGCCTCTCGTAGTCATACAGGCCTCGTATATCTGCAAGGTCTGCTGCACTGGTGGCATAACTCTCCACATCCTCTGACATGTTGCTGATGACAGAGCGCGAGTCATCCTCATCCAGAACGATGCTCCTCCTAGAGTAAGGCCTGTAATGTGGGAGAGGGGCTGTGTACTCCTGTGAAGAAGAAAGATGAAAAGGCGAGGATTCTTTGATAGCAGCAAGTCTATTTGACCCTGTGTCATAATGGACAGGAGTTACAGCACTGTGTCTCATTAGCTCTTGCTCCTCCTCGGCTCTCTCTGACCCAATGGGTGAACCCACTCGGAAATCCTCTACAAGGTTCTTATGGAAGCGTGGTTTGACTGACTTGGTGAGAGAGGAACCTCTAGTGGTGTTATCCTTCACCTTGAACATTAAGGGCTTGGCTCCCAGAGCAGGAGAAGAGGTGTTGGAGCGGGGCAGAGATGGAGCTGGAGATGTAGGGGCATGAGGCCTAAAAGACCTGATGTGGGAGTCCTCAGCTGACTCAAGCCCTGATGGATTGTTTCTTCGTTGGGAAGGTAAAGGGGAGCATAACTGTCTTCCTCTGGGTTTCCTCTCCAGGTCTGCTGAGGTGATGGCATAGTACTGAAGAGCATCCAGCCTCTGTGCTGATCTTTTCTGCTCCTCTATTTGAGCGGCTTTGTCCTTTTCTCTGTAAGCTGCTAACTTTTCTTCTTCTTTAGCCCTGCTCTCATCCTCTCTTTGAGATAGCGTCCGTTCTCGTGCTACTCTCTTCTCCTCCTCTTTCAGTGCTGCTTGGCTCTCCTCCAGAAGTCTGGTCTTCTCCTCTTTGGCTTGCTTGTCTTTGTGAACAGCTCTCATCTCTTCCTCTTCCCTTTGAGTTCTCATCCATTCTTCTCTCCTCTGTCTTTCGCTCCTCTGCTTTTGAATCTGCTGCTCTGTTTTCTTCTGCTCCTGGATCTGTTTGATCCTTTCCTCCTCTGAAATCTGAGCAGCTCTCCTCTGCTGCTCCTCTTTAGCAGCTCTCCTTTGCTGCTCCTCATGAGCTCTCCTCTGCTGCTCCTCCAGTGCAGCTCTCCTTTGCTGCTCCTCTTTAGTAGCTCTCCTCTGCTGCTCTTCTTGTGCAGCTCTCCTTTGCTGCTCCTCATGAGCTCTCCTCTGCTGCTCCTCCAGTGCAGCTCTCCTTTGCTGTTCCTCTTTAGTAGCTCTCCTCTGCTGCTCTTCTTGTGCAGCTCTCCTTTGCTGCTCCTCATGAGCTCTCCTCTGCTGCTCCTCCAGTGCAGCTCTCTCCTCTTGCTGTTTCGCCCTCCTCCTCTCCTCATTCTCTTTCATACGCTCTTCCTCGTCTCTCAGTTTCACCCTCCTCTCCTCCTCAATCTTTATTCTCCTCTTCTCCTCCATTTCTTTCACTCTCCTTTCTTCTTCTCTTTGCTTTGCTCTCATCTCTTCTTCTTTTTGAGCAGCTCTGTCTTCCTCTGCCTGTTTTGCTTTTCTTTCTTCCTCTGCTCTTCGCTCTGCTTCTCTCTGTTTTTCACGCCTCTCCTTGATCCTAACAGCTATGTCCTCCCGCTCTCTTGCTCTCCTCTCCTCTTCTCTACGAGCGGCTCTCCTCTCTTCTTCAGCCAGAGAAGCTCTACTCTCCTCTATAATGTGTTTTATTTTCATGTCTTCTGCTCTTGTCTTCACTTCTGTCCCAGAAGCTCTGCTCTGCTTCGCTGTGGTTTCTTCATGCTGAGTTGCAAGCATTTCTTGTCTCAGTTTTTCTGTCCTCGCTTCCCCAATCTTTGCAGTTTGTTTGCGTTCCTCTATGTTGTACACCTGCCCCAAGGTGGATGGTGGATGAGAGTTTTTATCCAAATATGGTATTCTTTCATCTTTAGGGGACAATTCCTCAGGTTTTTCATTTGAACTATCCAGTGGCTTTAGGTGTTGTGATACAGAAGTGTTTTTTGACCTGTTGACTGTAGAAGATGAGGTTGTGGCTTGCATGGGAGGATCGTTTGGCTGGTGTTGATCTACTGGACAAACTCTTTGGGTATCAGTTCCAGCTACCTGTACACCTGTACCTGTAACTGTACGTTGTATATGTTTTGCCCCAGTGTCTAATACATCTTCACTGGTTTTGGCATCTAAACACATTTTCTCTTGTCTTTCTTTGTCTCCCAATTTGAACATCCCAGTCCTTTGATGTTCTTTTTCTGTAATGGGAAATACTAAGGGTTTGGGCTCTTTGTTCACTTTGGAGCTGATCTCTGTCTTATTTGGCAAACTTTTCTCTTTCACAGAGAGGTCTTGTGGGTCAGCAGTGAAGACTGGGCGTCTGCTATGACGAGTCTGTATTAGTGGAAAGAATCCTTCCTTTTTGTTGGGTGGGAACTCCTGAACGTTGTTTGCCTGGTCTTCTGAAACAATTACTTTTAACCTTGCATAATCTGCAATTGCTGATATCTCAGGTATTGTGGATGCCCTTTCTTTTGGCTTTGGTTTAACTTCAGGTTTTTCTTTAACCGTATTTTCCCTTGTTGGATGTGAATTTCTTGAGGTCTGTCTTTCCCTTGCTGCGAAACTGGACTGGTTCTCTGTGTGCTGTTTTCTGTTATGAATAGCTTGACCTGCCTCTGTCTTCACATTTTTATTAGTCTGTCTCTCTGTGGGACGATCACTCTGTTTTGAAGCCAGATTATCTTTTGTTTCCCTGTTTTCCCTTTTCATGTTCTCATCTTGAACGCTTGCTGAACTTGATTCCATTGTTTTCATTTTACTTTGATCCAATGTAAAGACTTCATTTTTTCCTTCATTGCACAATTCCTTGCTGATAACTGCCTTGTTTGGTTGTAATACTGGAAGTTCCCCTCCTTTTAAAACAGCATCTGACGTATCTCCAACATTTGCACTATTTTGTGGGTCATTATTGGTTTCTGCTACCCCTTGCACTTGAAAATAATCTCCCACCATTGGTTGTATCTTTGATTCATCCACTGATTTCCCACTTTTATTTACTTTTTCAGGCTTTCCATCTTCAGTGTTCACTTTTTCTTCACGACTATGTGATGCAACTAGTTTGTGTTCATTATCTGCAATGGCACCAGAAGGGACAGTTGTGACAGGATGTTTTCCCGCCATTTTCAGGTTGTTCTTCTCAGCTTCTGCTGGCACAACTCTGATGGCAATGATGCCTATATGGACATTGTCATCCGATTGATTATTTTCTCCAATGAGTGTCTCTTTATGCGGATGTTTTGGAGATACATGCCTGTTTCGATTCTCAGTGAATTGGTTAGAAGGACTAGTTTTGTTGACTTGTTTTGGCGATATAGAGTCATGTCTCTTTTCCTCCGGTAGGGGTGCATTCTGACCATCGATGTTCTTGCTTTTGGAAGGATTTATGGCCGTTGTCGTATCTTCTTTCACTGGTGGGTGGGGGTCGTGTTTTATCAGGTTTTCAGCATCAGCTCTGTTGGAACTACTCGTGTGGTCAATTCCAGTGTTCACCATTTTAGCTATGAAGCTCTCATTGATATGTGCTGTTTGCCTTTTTGGTGCATTTTTCTCTTCAGTGTTACTCTTTACGTCATCTTTCTTTATGCCCTTTGTTGAGCTCTCTTTTGGTGTTTTATTTGTGTCGTCTTTGGTTTCTCTTGCCACCGTGTCCTGTTTGTAGAGAACGGGTTGAGTTTCAGCCGACACTTTATTTTTAGCAGGTACAGTGACAGTGGAGGGCACACCCTTTTCAGCCAGGGGTTCCTGGAGTTGTGTTTCCCTCTGGGGTCTTGCATTTGTAGAGAGACTCGGCTGTTGGAGATTAGTCCTTTTCACAGTGACAGTCTCTGACCCATTGTTCTGTCTTATATCTAGGGTTGAAGTTTCTTGCATGTTTTTAGGATGATTATTCATACCAACTTTAGTTTGATCTTTCTTCACTGTCGGAGTGTCCTGTACAATTTTGTCCTTTACCTTTACTCCTTTTACTTCCTTTGAAGATTTATTTGCTTTACTTAATTCTAGATCTGAGCTGGGATTACATGTATCTAGCTCTGAACTACTGCACTCTTTTACTTTTGCATTCATTTGTTCTTGAGTGTCGTTATTCCTCTGACCGTCGTTCACAGATGGGGTTCTCTCTCTTACAATTACCATTATTCCTGTGATCTGCAAGCTGTCGTCAACCACAGGGGTCTCGTTCTGAGCAAAGACGAGATTAAGTGAAGGTGCTGAGTCCTCACGAACAGCTTCATGTTTGCTCTCAGCCTTTTCTGTCGTCATAGGTTTGGAGATTTCAGCTTCGACCTGAGCTGTAACTTGCGATGGATCCGCTTTCTGCTTGTTGAGATGGTCATAGTTTGCGGAAGGATTGTCTTGAAGTCCCTCTTTCAGTTTTCCAGAGTTCTCTCCATGATTTGATTCCGGGTTTCCTTGCTTGTTCTTGGGTGGTGTCTGCTCTTTATTTTGCATTGGTGACTTAATTCCAGACTGATTCTCATTCTTATGATTTTCTACCAAACCCTCATCTGTGCTCGTGGTATAACTTCCTGTCTGTTTTGCTTCTCTGGGCAGTTTCGGCACATTGGTACTACTCTTCGTGGGTTCTTTGGGAACTTGTTTCTGTGAATGGTCTACTAACTGACTGGTGGTTGCTGCAGACTTAACTGGTATTGAAGCCGTGCTGGGAGGTGAAACAGACTTGACTGGTTCCGTCTGTATTCCTGAAGGCTTCATCAGGTGCTTCGGTGTATTATTACTGGACATTGTGCTTTCATGCTTTTTATGCACTTCCTGTGATTGTGGCTTCTGTCGTATGCTAAAGGTCTGACTACCTGCTAGTTGCTTGGTAGACATTTTGGATGTAAACCCATCTCGTATAGCAAAACCCTTTTCTTTAATGGCTGAAATCTCTTTTTCAGCATGAGCCTTTATCTTGGAAGTCAGGATCTCCTGCTTAGTCTGAGCTCTTTCTTTATGGGACAGTGCTCTGGGAGGGTTAAAATGTGAATCTTTACCTGGACCTGCACTGTGCTCAGTTGACTTGGGTTTTCTTTCAAGGGGGGGTGGTTTAACCAAATCAGCATCTCTTTGCTGTGAAACACCAGGTTGTTTCAGAGGGTCACATTTTTCTGACTTTTCAACACAGTCATCCCTCACTTTATCAGTAGCAGTGTCACTATTTGCTCTACCTGTACTGGTAGGTAAATAATCAGCACCAGATAATTTGAATTCTTTGGATGACTCACTGTAAACATAATGACTTTCTGCCACCTCACTGGATTTAATGCTGCCTATTTCCTCCTTATTTTCCATGTTAGCTGTTGCAAATCTGCTTGTAGGACTATGTTTGTCCTTTGATTTGTCATTACTATCTGTAACTATCTCAACTTTATCAAGACATGCACCAGGTGTTTCATTGGCATCATTTGTAGAATCAATTCCGACAGCTGAGAGTTTGTTTCTGTTTGTTGAGGTTGTATCAGTAAAACCATATTTCTCTCTAAGATAATTATATTCAGAAGTCCCTCTGATAGCTTGATCTGTACTTTGTTGATGCATTTGTGTGGCCTGGTCCTGATTCTTGTACTCCTTCTTCTCATTTTTACTGGTATTTACCTTCAAAGGAACATCTTTCTTAATCCCATCTTCTTTTGTGAGAATTGTATTTCTGACTTTTTGCTCTCCTCTCATTTTCTCCTTTATTTTAGCCAATTCTGCTTTAGTTTTAGCTAACTCTGTCTTAACTTGCTCAACTTTATCTGGCTCACTTTTGACCTGTTGTGTCAGTGTTAGTTTTGCTGTTGGTTTAGCTGACCTTTCCTGCATGTTGTCTGTTTTTGTGAGCTCTGCTTTAGCTAGCTCCACTTTGGTTTGTTTCAACTTTGCTTGCTCTGCCTTTCTATCTTCAACTTTTTCCTCTTCGGCTTTACTCATCTGTGTTGTAGGAGGCTCTGCAATTACTTGAACTGCCTGAATTAAATCACCCTCAACAATCTTAGTCTTCTCTTGTTCGGCTTTAGCTTGTTGCTCTTTTATCTGCTGTAGTTTAGCTTGTTCGGCTTTAGCTTGTTGCTCTTTCATCTGCTCTAATTTAGCTTGTTCGGCTTTAGCTTGTTGCTCTTTCATCTGCTCTAATTTAGCTTGTTCGGCTTTAGCTTGTTGCTCTTTCATCTGCTCTAATTTAGCTTGTTCGGCTTTAGCTTGTTGCTCTTTCATCTGCTCTAATTTAGCTTGTTCGGCTTTAGCTTGTTGCTCTTTTATCTGCTCTAATTTAGCTTGTTCGGCTTTAGCTTGTTGCTCTTTCATCTGCTGTAGTTTAGCTTGTTCGGCTTTAGCTTGTTGCTCTTTCATCTGCTCTAATTTAGCTTGTTCGGCTTTAGCTTGTTGCTCTTTCATCTGCTCTAATTTAGCTTGTTCGGCTTTAGCTTGTTGCTCTTTCATCTGCTCTAATTTAGCTTGTTCGGCTTTAGCTTGTTGCTCTTTCATCTGCTGTAGTTTAGCTTGTTCGGCTTTAGCTTGTTGCTCTTTCATCTGCTCTAATTTAGCTTGTTCGGCTTTAGCTTGTTGCTCTTTTATCTGCTGTAGTTTAGCTTGTTTGGCTTTAGCTTGTTGCTCTTTTATCTGCTCTAATTTAGCTTGTTCGGCTTTAGCTTGTTGCTCTTTCATCTGCTCTAATTTAGCTTGTTCGGCTTTAGCTTGTTGTCCTTTCATCTGCTCTAATTTAGCTTGTTCGGCTTTAGCTTGTTGCTCTTTCATCTGCTGTAGTTTAGCTTGTTCGGCTTTAGCTTGTTGCTCTTTCATCTGCTGTAGTTTAGCTTGTTCGGCTTTAGCTTGTTGCTCTTTTATCTGCTGTAGTTTAGCTTGTTCGGCTTTAGCTTGTTGCTCTTTCATCTGCTCTAATTTAGCTTGTTCGGCTTTAGCTTGTTGCTCTTTTATCTGCTCTAATTTAGCTTGTTCGGCTTTAGCTTGTTGCTCTTTCATCTGCTCTAATTTAGCTTGTTCGGCTTTAGCTTGTTGCTCTTTCATCTGCTGTAGTTTAGCTTGTTCGGCTTTAGCTTGTTGCTCTTTCATCTGCTGTAGTTTAGCTTGTTCGGCTTTAGCTTGTTGCTCTTTCATCTGCTCTAATTTAGCTTGTTCGGCTTTAGCTTGTTGCTCTTTCATCTGCTCTAATTTAGCTTGTTCGGCTTTAGCTTGTTGCTCTTTTATCTGCTGTAGTTTAGCTTGTTCGGCTTTAGCTTGTTGCTCTTTTATCTGCTGTAGTTTAGCTTGTTCGGCTTTAGCTTGTTGCTCTTTTATCTGCTGTAGTTTAGCTTGTTCGGCTTTAGCTTGTTGCTCTTTCATCTGCTCTAATTTAGCTTGTTCGGCTTTAGCTTGTTGCTCTTTTATCTGCTGTAGTTTAGCTTGTTCTGCTTTTCGCTGTGCTTCAGCCTGTTCTGCTTTAACCTTTTCTGTTCTGATTTGTTCTGCCTCCATCCGCTCTCTTTCAACTTGTGCTGCTCTTACCCGATCTTCCTCACGTTGCTCTGCTTTGATCCTTTCTTTTCTGGCCTGTTCAGTGTTAGCCTGTTTTATTCTTGCCTCCTCAGCCTGCTCGGTCTTGGCCAGCTCAGTTTTTATGTGTTCCTCTTTTAGCCTCTCTGCTTCAGCTTGTTGTGCTTTGACCTGTTCACCCTGCTCCTCTCTCATGTGCTCAGATCTTACTTCCTCTGTAATATTTTTTGGCTCCTGTGTTACCTTCTGTACTCTAGTTTTCTCTCCCTTGATCTCTTCCTCTCTGACCCACTCTGGCTGTTTTTCTATTGACTGTTGTGTCTGTTCTTCTTTTCTCTTCTTATCTTTAATATGCTCTGCTTTAGCCTGGTTTACTCTCTCCTGCTCTGTTAGCTCTGGTTTGACTTTCTCTGAACCAGTCTGCCCTGCTAAAATTAACCTAGCTGACTCCAGTTTGGGCTGCTCCACTTGAGCCCAGTTCTGAGACTTTGCCAGCTCTGCTTGGGCGTGTTGTGCTTTTATATGGTCTGTCATGGCCTGTTCGGCCTTGACCTCAACAAACTGTCTGTGTTCTGGCGGGTTTGCCATTGTTGGGGCAGATGCATTGTCAGGGTTAGATAATGAATTTTTCTGCATATTATGTTCAAACTTTGGTTTAGCTTGTGTCGGCTGCAGACTTTGCATTTCGTTCCCTTTGGGAATAGTTTTTCTGTGAGCTGTTTCTTGCATGAGCATAGGTGTGTCTTTGTTCGAAACAATGGTGGGTTGGTTTCTGTATTCTTGAGCAGTTTGTCTGTTATAATTCTGTGTCAAATAATTATCTTTCATTTCATTTTCCTTTAGTCCGTAATACTTTCGAAGTGTGTATTTGTCCTCTAATGTTCCAGGTTGCTGTTGTCCATAATATGCTGGATTTTCTACAGTGTCATTACTAAATGGAGCATATTGTGGCAGTTGGTTTGAAATGATAGGACTGACCAATCCAGTCTTTTTGTGAGATGTTTCAACACCAAAACTCTCTCTCAACTCTGTTTTCTCATGTTCATGTTCTCCGTATTTGTCTCTTGGTAAATTTAGTTCTTCCTTTATTGCAGCTGCTCTTTGGTAAGCCTGTGCGAGTTGGTCTTTTTCCATTGAAGTGTTTATCTCTTGTTTCCATGGAGAGATAGCTGTTTTCAGTCTGAAATTTTCTGTGTCTTGGCTGTTTGTCTGTCTCCACCTATCCTGTGAGGACACATTACTGTAATCATGTTTATTTTCTTTCAACTGCTGATATCTATCCACCTTTGTGAATTCCCTTCCCACTGTTTCATTAAAATGTTGCTCAGTATTTGCCTTGCTTATTAAATATTCTCTGGTTTGATTGTTGTCAGCATTTAGCCTCGGAGCTTCTGTAGTTGTATAAGGTGGTTTAAGCCTGTATACATCTCCTCCCAGAGTTTCGACATTATCTATCATGCCTTGCTTATAGGGAGTAAATGACAATAAGTCTTCATGGAGATTCTGTCCATTAGCCAGCTGATTACTAGCGTAATTTCCAGGTATGAAGTCAGTGAACCCAGAGTGATGAACCATCTCACTTTGCATCTGAGCTGTCTGGTAATTACTTGAGGTGTATTCTGAATATTGGCCTGCATGTGCTGTTGCAGGTTGAGAATTTAGTGTTGTAAGTGGTAATCCAGGGTTATGATATTGGTTTCCATATTGATGTGAGGCAGAATTTGTCCTGATGGATTCTTCTACCTGGGGAAATTGAATGCCGGCATCTGGGAAATCAGGGATGTCTATCACTGTGTCTCTAGGCTCCTGGACAGAAGGTTGTTTGTTTTTCTCCGGTGTGTCCAAGCCTTTGAATTTGGTGGGACTATAGGTGCTTTTTACTCTTTTCCTGTTGTCTTTGAGATTGAAGAGTAAGCTTGTGGCTCTGGATTTGTAGCTGGACCTAATATCAGGAGTGGCTCCCCTGCTTTCTGCTCGCACAGGAGGATGTTCGACAGGTTGAGGGGAAACTGCATACTGCGGGACCTCTGATGTCTCTACTTCTTGATTTGCATGGACTAAAGGTGTGAGCAGCTGGCTGATATTGAAAGGAGTTGTGCTTGTGTTACTGCTGACAGCATTTGGTGCCACAGTATTGTTGCCAAAGGGAATTAAATTATCATTGCTATAAAGTACTGCTTCTTGATTTGCTATCATTCCTGTTGTGATATTTTGCTCTGTCATCATTTTAATTTTTTGCTGGAGGGCTTTGACAGAGCTGATGGTGTCCTGGACACGTCGAGACATCTCAATGGTAGGTGATGCAGTTGATGGGCGTTGGGATGGGAGCCTGTTAGTTCCCAGGCTCTGCGTCCGCTTCCTGTGGGGGAAATGACCTGCCAACTCTGACTCACACCGTTTCTCTACGGCCAAAGATCTCTGCAGCATTGTGGATGTTGAGGTGGAGCGTGATGGAGTGGGTGGAACCATAGGCGCCAAGTTATTCCTTGGGTGTCTGATACTCCTCTCCTCAAACCTATAAGGACCCTGTGGTTGGGCCTCCATTGAAAGCTCCTTGTACATTGGTGTCTCATACCATTTAGGAAATTCTGAGCAGTGCATAAACCCTGAGACTTCTCCTTGTTGGAAGGGAAACCTGTTATGGTCCCTCCATAACTTGAAAGGACTAAACTCACTGTGTATAAAGAAGTTAGAGTTACAGTTGACCTGTGCAGACATGCTGTGTTTACTGTGGGAAGATCTCATAAAAGACGATGCCGAATTCATTTGAGCCACTGCTGCTACGTCAGAGGAGTAGAAGTTGGTGTCTCGGGATGAGAACGGGCCAGCTGAAGGGAAATGACCACTGTTAAAGTTTTGCTGGTATGATGTAGAGAATTCAGAAAGTTCCCTTTGGATACTCATCAGAGCTGATTTGTCCCAGCTTGTCTCATCATTCCAGTCTCTGAGTTGACCGTCCATCCCTGCTCCATCTCTCTGTCCCTCAGAGTTAAAAGCTCTGATGAGAGAAGACACTCTGGATCGGCTTCTGCGTTGCTGTGAATTCAACTCTGTGGCTCCATTGCTGAGGAAGGACAGCTGCTCTTCCCTCAGAGATTCCTCCTGTTGAGAAGTTTCCACAAAGGAGTGCTGGAATGTGGCAGAAACCCTCCCTTGTGTCCTTTCCCCATAAACCTCCCACTGTGGATCTCTGTGGATCTCAGCCCCATACATCCCTCCATGGATCCAGTCCTGTCCATACTGCTGCACCCTGAGGCTGAAGCTCTCGTGTGCAGCTCTCTTAAGTTCCTCCCTCTCTCTGTCCTCTCTGTCTCCGTCCTGGCCACTCTGACTAAAGGCCAGCTGTCTGTCTCTCTGGGTGCAGGGTGAAGACGAACAGAGGTCTGAGTCATTATAAACAGCCTCATCTCCAATGCAGAGACTTCTGAATGCTCGATCTGTCAGATTGCTGACCTCACGGTCAGTCTCATCCAGAAAGGACCCACCACTGGAGGTGTCGCTGTAGCCTCCATCGCTGTGCTTTCGATGTCCGCCACTCTTTCGGCCTGAGCGGCGCTTCTCAACTGAGGTCATGATGCAGGCTCGCTAACAAAGAGCTCTGTCCTCAGTTGCTCAGTCATTCATGCAAACACAGACCTCAAAATTATACACTCTGTCTGCTGCTGGAGGTACAGGGCCCAGAGTATAGGGCCCCCAGGCAGGATTTTGTACTGCCAGTAGCTCCTAAGGCATTGTGCCTTTTACTTTGCCTTTGTCCAAAAAAATCCTGGAATTTGTTGTCCTCCTACAGGAGAAAAGAACGGAGAATTAGACTGACCTCACTGGCACTCACATAAACATTGATATAAAACAATTTTATAACAGTGTTTGCATGATGTGTGTGATGTATTTCAACACTGACTCAAAGCCTAAGATATACACAGTGTTTTCTCTCATATGAGAGAGTAACTTATTTGTTGTGGTGCTTAATTTATGATAGCTGGCTCAGATAAGAAGCGTTTTTCCTTTGCATTAAGCAGCAATGTACTGTATGTGGGTCTGAAAACAGCCCTGTAAATCCTTCCACTCAATCACTATGACCTTCAGAGACATGTTGTGAATAAAACTACACTGTTGCTAGGCACAGTAAAGACAGCTTCACGTGAGTTATTCTGGGAAAGCAGGACACAAACTTAGACATACACACACACACGAATACACACACAGACACACACACACATCAGATTTTGATTTTCTTTATAAAAGCTATATGTTGACATTGTTTTTAGAAAAATCTGAGGTTGGAATTAACTGACTAAATGTGTTCAGGTTGATAAGAGGTTAAAAAAATTAGCTTAAAAAGTTTTTCTAGTCAAAAAGTCTGGCTAGGCCCAGTTAACTGTACCATTACATTGAAAACAAATCTTGTAGTAATACTATAGTAGAGAGCAAGTGGAAAGCGGATTAAAATATCCTTATGTAGAAGTGCTGCTAAACTGAGATTTCAGAGGTAAAATTAGAAAATGTATTGCTGATGTAAGTACAATGTGACATTTAAGTTAATAAATAACACTACTAAATTAAAATTCATTAAAATTACCACATTTACCAATAAAAAGTGTATTATGAAGCGTATGAAGCATAAAACAAGTTAGTTAGGTAGTTAGTGGTGCTTTCTGTGAAAATATTTATATATAGATAAAATCAGTCAAGGCCATGGGTAAGTGCTGTGACATATTTGTATCTGTCACCATGACTTTCCTAGCCTTGTTACTCTCACTCATCACTCACAGTAAACTGGCTGTAGTGCATTGCCTGTGGAGGGCCTTTGAAACCGAACTAAACTGGATCTAAAATGTAACATAATGCAAAACATCAAAAACAATGCTCAACATCTCAGTAATAAAATAATTTCTTTCTTCCAATCTGAGGCGAGAGCCCTTTTAAAGCTTTCCTATTGCATTCTGTTGTACGGTGCTTTTTAAATACAACATTTTAGAGGCAACAAGGTAACGTCATGGGTATGTTCTGGTTAAATTTACTGCAGCTGCCAGGCAGCCGTCACCTTGCTCAGAATATCCAGTAGTTCATTAATATCTTCTGACCTGGCCGCCATCCATCTCATACGCATCTACAGATGAGCTACACACACCACTGCTGTACCTCCTGGCTAAGTCAGTATCAAATAAAACTGGGGCAGAAATGAAAGGAAGTTTAAAAATGTAATGCAACACCTTTCTACTAAACCAACAGCAACTGAGGCCTCATGTTGCTGCACGTCTTCTACAGCTACACTTGAAGCATTAAAATAACTCTGACTTTTTATTTTATATGTCACTCTATCTCTACCCAAATGAAACATTCTGTTCAGGCTAGAAAGAAGATGGTAACTATCCCTAAGTCAAGACTTTTTTGCAACAATAATCTCATGTCAAGCCGTCAGGGTGATTTCAGTTCATTCTTGCATGTGACAGGTTTATTTTTGTCTAGTGACGGGCCTCCAACTCTAAAACCTGAAACCAAAGAGGCCTCGTTTTTAGAGGGACTGTGGTCCAAAATGAAGACTGAACAGCAGCAAATCTGTCACTTCTGAGAGCAGAAAAGATTTGACTAAATATTTATAAATGTCAGCAACTGTCAGGAGAAAGAAAATCAAATTATGTCAGTCAATATCTCCAGTAAGTGAATGTGTATTTTCTTTTGGAGATTAACACAGGGAATTGTGTCGTATCTCTTCATTTATTTATCTGCATGAAAATGCCCACTCATGAAACTAAACTTATTGAAAATGAGAACACATGCATGTCTGGAAGGTCGAGCATATTTATTGTCAAGTTAATATTATTTTATTATTATTTTTTAAAATGATAAGAATATTGTCTTACCTTCCAGTTTTATAATCCATCATTTGGGCCTTATTAAACTCCTCAAAAAGCTCTGTCTCCTCAAAAAGGCCTCGCTGATCTGATCCTGCCCTGTCACAGTCATACAAGCCCTCTCTGGCTCCTTCTTTTGACAACAATCCAAAGCAAAAACCTCTATGTAGTCCACAGTCAGGTCTTTGAGCATCTGACCAGAGGCAGGCAGCGGGACTCAGGTCTGGAGACCAGACAGAAATAGAGGAGTTGTCCCAGAGAGAGTGTCCACCATGGGGGACAGAATGAGGGCTTGAGCTTGCATGTGGATCTGTGAGATCCTTTGGTGTCGAGTGTCAGACAGATGAAACAAACAGCCTGTGAACTATTTATAAATCTGGACAGCTAACTGTTGGCCATTAGCAGCTACAGACGGTGACAAATTAAAGGAAAAAACAAAATAAAATGTCTTAGTAAGGTGTTGGGCCATGATTGACATAATTTTCACATTCATCAAACCATTTATCAGCCCCTATGGGTCGGGGCATTGTCATCCTGGAGGAGACCAGTCTCATCAGGAGAGAAATTGTTCATTATAGACTAAAGATGATCACTCAAAACAACTTTGTATTGATTTGCGGTAAGCCTTCCCTCTGAGGGGACAAGTGGATCCAAACCGTGCCAGCAATATGCCCCCCACAGCATAACAGAGCCACCGGATCCCCTCACTGTAGGGGTATAAGCATTCAGGCCTGTACCGTTATCTCGGTGTACGCCACACATGCACTCTCCAACTTGTCGGGAATATGGTGACGGATGACTCATCTGATCACTTTTTCCCACATCTCCCTCAGACCCAATGGTTTTTTTTTTTCTCAAATGTGCATTCATGTTTGTAATGAGGGGTTTATGCACTGCAGGCGGACTTTAATATCCCTCTCTATGTAATTGTCGACAAATAGACTGACGCAGTCTGATCACTTCCTGCACTGACATTCTTAGTCACCTGAGGAAGAGTTGCTGTTTTTCCCTACACAAAGCAGCACAGTCATCAAATGTGTGCTGTTGACCTCACTTTGATCTTTTCCTTTTGCCATATTAAAATAATCAACAGGGCCTGCTCAGCATTTTTATACATGCCACACATCATTATTGGATAATTGGAGCATGCAGTGCGCCTCTGTGGAAGCATCTGCATTCTTTAGGTTTCTCCACTCCTTTACAGTATTCAGGTCTTCCTTTTAATTTGCCGTCACAAACTTGGAAAGTGTTACAACTGGCTGAGGAGGATGTGGGATCTGAACAAGGAGAAAAAATGAATTTCCTGAAAGTGTGTTATTATTGTGGGTGGGAGGAGGTGGAGGACTTTGGTTTGGGTGCTCCTTTGGGAGACACAAATAACTCAATTGGTTCACAGTGGAGAGCCACCCTCTTCGTTAAACAGAACTGACAAGCACTATATGGAGGGTCAACAAGTGGCTTTTAGTCACCACCCATCTGCTATCATCACCATAGACTTGAATAGAGCTTTTTATTGACTATAAGACCATATGGCAGAGATGTTCGAGCAGATTTGTCATATTTTCTCATTAATTTCCTTTCACAGACGTTATTAATTTAATGCCACATATCTGAGAGGTTGGTTTCAACATGAATTTTACACTGACTTATTACAGTACTAGAAGACTAATCTCCCTGGCTACAGGCTCACCCACCCCCCAGCAGAAAAGGCCATAAGGCAGAGAAAGGGGAGGAACTGTGCCTCCCCCTTTCACCCCTCCTACAGCCCGCTGCTATAATAGGAGATTGCTGTAGCAGATAGTTTCCTGGGATTCTTGGCGGGTGCAGGGCCGGCCTGGCGGGATGATGGACACACACACATGGGCCTTAATGGAGACGCACTCCTCTACATATGCCCACACAAACACACACACACACACACACACACACACACACACACACACACACACACACACACACACACACACACACACACAGATGGTTTTGCATACAGCTCGCTAAACTATGGGAAAGGCTGAGGTAATCCCTTTTTAACTAATCTCTTTCCTCTCCTCTAAACAACCTCCACCCACATGCCCTTCTCATCCACCATTTTTCTCTCCACTCTGTACTCTTGTCAATCAGTAAAATCCATCTCTAGATTTCTTCCATGTTGATGAGATAATTATTTTCACAGATCTCAAAACCTCCTCATTTAGAATTTGCAACTTGCTGCTTTATCATCTTGTGTTTCTACTTGCTTATGGGCCTTCAGTACTCAGCACTTGTTAAAAATTGTATTTGATTAATGAAATTTAATTTATAAAAACGTCCCTCAGCAAAAATTACTCAACATGTGTTCCTCCAAAAGGCTCAATTTTCCCACTGAAGTTTGTTACCTACTGTGGGGAGTCTGCACAAGTTTCCTGCTCACTAAGTCCCTCTAGTGGACAAATTGAGAACAGACGTCTAAAATCCATTTGGACTGAAATGTTGAGGGTTTTTTTTTTATACATATCATATATGATTTTTTGCACAGTACCACTCCCCATCTTTGCTTCAACATAGTTGCATTATAAAGCTACTGAGGACTGTAAGCATTGATCTCAAACACTGAGGATGCTCTTCCCTGTGCTGAGTAAGGAGGAGCGGAGCTGTGGTTATGTGGCAGACAGCAGACAGGCACATTACTTGCCGCATTAAAATATGCTTTGTTTGTATTATCTCAATTCAGAGATTAGCTTAATTGATTCTAATTGATTGGGTTATTGATCAGCTCTGTTGCAGAGATGATACTGGGTGTTTTGGCCCTTCAGTGGACCGGCCTTGAATATGGCCCTTATGTCTGACTTTGGAAGCTGGGTCCTTGAATAGTAAAATTTAGGTGTTGCTCCCAATGTCAAGCAAAAGAATTGTATGTATGTGGCAGTCTTTCTTGAGCATACTGTCTCTTTCTATGTGCCTTATATTGTCTGTGGATGGGTGCATGTGCACAACGTCTCCCTGTTTCAGGACATATTTCCCCACATCCCTGCAAAATATTTCATTACTGCAACAAAAGAAGCCCATTAACTGCACTGTAAGAACAGAGTTCAACTGCTGTCCCCCATATTCACCATGTTTGTCTGCTTTTCTGGCCGCTCTCCAGCTAATTTGATATAACAATGCTCCACAAAACCGCCTCAGGACTTTTTTTTAGGTGACAGAAAATTATCAATGATGCCACATGCACAGCTGAATGTCAACACCAACTTGACTTGTTTATCAAATATTAAAGCAGTGAATTATGGGCACCATGCAGAACTTAATGATGATCGGAGTCATTATAACTTCAGCATCCTTTGTTTTGGCTAATGATTAAATTCCACAACTACTGTATTCAATTTTGGAGAGATTGAATGTGTTTCTCACGTCTTTTGTATGAGTTGGCTGCATTCTGTCGTCCATGTTGGTACATTTTTGGAAAAAGGAGCTGATTTGTATAAGGATATTGTGTTATCATTAGCTGCCCTGTCAGGGGGCTTAACATCTTTGCTCTGGAGCTCTCTCATGCACTTCATTATATTAGGGCATGATGTTTTTGGTAATACTATTTGGGGCATGAATAGATACAGTACCTGCAGTATTATAATACCAAATATATATAAAAATAGGCCATAATAGGTTCTGATTTTGAAACTTTATTTTGACTCCCATTTATTTTTATGGATGTTATGTGTTTTTCGGTGGAGACATATGGTGTTCCAATAGAATAAAAAATCCCATCAAATCTTAAAAAGTGTTAATGTCACAAGAGGGTGGTTCATACTCAGTGAAAGCGCCGCTTTATTGTCATATTTGTAGGGCACACATAATGGTGTAGAAAAGAGGATGTGAATGCTCTGTACACTATGTGTACAACCTGGCACGACTTCTGACATTATCTGCCTCTTCTGTGTCACCAGGGTGTCGCCTCATCAATTATTGAACCAGTACTTCGTGGTAATACATAATTTCTTATCAATTATTCATGATAATGTGTGTGTAGTTTACTTAATTGTGTTATTGACTATCAAAAGTAATTTCCTGAAAATCCTCAAGGACGCAAATTGAATCAGCCCAACTACTGGTTGTGTGCTCCGCGGTTAAGTATTCTCAATCTGATCAGCTGATCCTTTATTCAAGAGTCACTCTAGTAAGGAGAGATATTTAGGAAGAATAAATCAACAAATGTATTGCCTGTGATAAACTACTCTGTTAGGAGCCCTGAGGTGATGAGAGACGATAATTTAAAAAATGTAAATTCAACATTAATAAATAGCATATATCATGTTTAATAGGGTTTATTAAAAAATGCTCAGAGAGAGGAAGAGAAATAGGAAGAGGGTGAGCGTTCCTAAAAGTAAATAAATAATAAGAGTCACGATTGCTCTCCTCTCCCGGCTTTAAGGGAAACTGATAAATAATGTATCAGAACAGATGGCTGGAGCGAGAGGCAACAGGAGAGGAACATGAGCGACTACATCTTTAATTGTTTTAAAGAACATGTCACAACAGGACTGGTGTGTTCCCTGTCTGCTGACGCTACAGATGTGCTAACAGAGTGGAAGGGACAACCACCGCTCTGTCACTGGGTCTGCTTCAGCCTACCTGGGGTTCACACATGAACACACTGTATTCTGGCACATGTACACATTTACACTGAAAATGGCTGATTAATATTAAAGTGCACTTTCACTTTAAAAAAAAATCAAAAGAATGAGAGATTGTTTGAGCCCATTACTGACCTGATGGCATGAACATTATATTGCCAAAATCCGCACTGACCTGCCTTCAGTTTTACACTTATAGTTTACATGCATTAACATTCACAATGTAAGCATCTGTACTCTTTATGAAAATGACAGGAAATGTATCAGGATTTCTTAAATTCACATTATCAAATAGGTCTTTGTTGCACGCATGTTGCATCTATGTTAGTCCATCAAATAGAGTCCACGAGTGCACAAAGACACATATAGATCCAAAACCACACTTGTGCTTCTATTGGGATAACAAGGCCCAAAATATTGAGCATTTCTCACAAACAATAATAATTTACTGTCAAATAAATATTTTAATGTTTGCATCCATTGTGATATGAGTAAAGTCTTTCCCAGGCTGTTTCTGGAGTCAGTCAGTAGTTGTGCTTAGTTGCTCATAGGACCAGAGTAGAGTAGAGTAGTAATAACAGGCACGATCACACAGATTTAGAGTATCAGTACATCCACGTTTATGTCCAGCACCTCACTTTTTGTCCATTGGTTCCTTGGAGCAGTGAGGGTGTTTGTCAGGACTGCTCCCCAGGATGGGGACCTTGTTGGCCGGGCTGGGACTGGAGCTGTCTCCCCCTCTTCCCACAGTGCCAGGCACCTCGATGGCAGGGCCCACCGTGGGCCTCGCCACCCCGGCTGTGCTGACGCCGACTCCAGACAGGACTCCCACGCCGGGCCCGGTCGCAGCGCCAAGCAGGTTGGCAGACTGCAGCACAGCCTCCGAGTGCTCACGGGCCTTCATGCGCAGGGCGGCCACGCTGGCTGTGCGGTTGCCCTGACAACCGTAGGGCGGCAGGAAGGACAAGCCCATGGGGTCAGAGACACAGCAGGAGCACAAACCATTACCTGAAATATATAGCAAAAGTAGGACTCGTGGTGACACTACTGAAAACCACATTTTCATCCTCACATCATTTTTATCACCATCTCTATTTGTCAGTTCATGAGAATCATATTTACCTTTCAGTGTGGCGACCTGTGAGAGGGCCTGGGCGTAGGTGGCAGAGTTGAGGAGGGTGCCTGGTATACAAGATGGGAAGAACGGACCACTTGGACCCACAGTCCTGTTGATACTGGAGAACACAGACATACTATATCCAATCATCTAGTGAAAACTTACTGGCAAATTATTCTATTAAAACACTCACATTTCTAGAAATATATCTACTACTTTCAAATGTTTTTAAATCTGTACTGTGCATTGCTGGTCAGAGTTTATTAAGGATAGAGTGTCATCTACAGAAATGATCTAGATGGCTGTCTAGACAGTTTTGTAGTGGCAGTTATTGACGGAAAAGATATTGCCTCTTATTTATCTCCATCACCCAGATCCACCCAGCAGCAAATCTAGACCAGCAACCTTTGTGTCACACATTTCTCCTATCAATAGGAAACAATTTCACAACATTAACGACTACAACAATCATCTGTCTGTTCTCACCTCTGCTGCATCTCCAGTGGTTCCTTCTGCTTTCTGCTGTGGTCCACTGGGGACTGAGAGTTGATGCTGCGAGATGGAGGAGTGCCCTCACTCATCTGCTCTTTCCCTCCTTCAGGATCTGTGCTCCCTCGCTCCGTCTTCCTCCACTTTGCTCTGCGGTTCTGAAACCAAACCTGCATTAAAAAAAAAAAAAAGGAGAGGGAAGACAAAAAGCAAAAACGATTAAATTAAGTGACTAATTGAAACTGGAGTATCTGCATTTCCTGACACATTAGCAGCTTGCATCCATTTCTTTTATTTATTGAATGCAGCTCTATATCCATGCCCATTTTAAAAAAAATTCCTCTTGCATATTCTTTTGGCAATTCACAGACAAACACATGCAAACTTAAGTTTATCTGTTTGTTCTATTTGCTTTGTTTTGTGTTGCATGTCAAGAGCTGTTTGACTGTGTCACATCAGCGCTCTAATGTCACCCAATCCCCGACTTATCCCCAAAAAACTTCACCATCCACACAGCTGAGAACATATAGCTAAGTTCTGGTGTCTTAATCGAATGAAGGTCACTGCCTATAACAACATTTAATTGAGCAATTTTTCATTATCATATTTTAATGACTTCCCACTGACAGTTGTGCTGCCCGAGAGAGAGGCAGCTATGATGAAGTCGTTTATTTCCCTATTTAGTGATTGTTTGACAACATCAGATTCGATTAGGACTCGGTTCTAGCAGGCATTAATCATGATGTGTGAATGGAGGTTAGAGTCGGTGTGCATGTGCTCTGCATCCCTCCTATTGTACTGGAGGTATAAATGATGTCAACAGCCAAACAAAACACATGCATTCATTCGGCATAAAGAAAGGACAACATTTTGATGGCAGGACAACAATACAACCAATGGACTTATCTCACCCCTGCACCTTCCAGCTAGAAGTCGCGCCCCCCCACACACACACCCCTCTCTGAATGGGCTATAATTGCTCCATTAATCTCAATTTGCTGCGTGCTCTTAATGCGGGGGAGGCCCATTGACACTTTACAAAAAGGGGGGCAACAACACTACAACAGAAAGGAAATTTATTTTCTAATAATAATGTAAGTTTAATATCCCTGCATACTGCGGTGGATTCATGTTCAGATTTAATAATAGGAATGTGGTAATCGGATTAGGAGGGGAATAATTTGTTTACAATCCCTAATTTACAGCGCTGGATTCCATTATCAACCTCGCCATTGGGTTTAAGCGATAGTAAGATGACCCTGGGGAACAAAAGGCAAACTATTATATTTCCCACAATTAGATCTGCGCGCACAACAAAACCCAAAAGCAAATCTGGAATGCAGGAAATTACATACAGGACACATAACTTAATTACATCTGGCCAAGTTTATAACGGCGCATATGTGCAGGGCAGGAGCGGAATATAAATTGCCAAATTTAAGGTGTGTGTGTGTTTTTTTCTTGTTTTGTGTTTTTTTATGTGTGTGTGTGTGTGTGTGTGTCTGTGTGTGTGTGTGTGTGTGTGAGAGAGAGAGACAGAGAGAGGCACACACACACACACACACACACACACACACACACAGAGAGAGAGGGAGAGTTTCGTAGGCTGCAGGCTTTGCCCTCTTTTAAAACACATATCGTTTTCTGTCTGCGTTACGGGAAAGAGATCTGCATGGATGATGTATTCCTACCTTTGAGACGCGGACAAATTAGTGAGGAACATTATCGCTGGTTAATTATGAATGACCGATTAATCAAGCTAATCTAATATTCACCATTATGTTGATGTTATTAAAGTGCATCGCCGGAATGACAGAGTGGCTTAATTTACCCTCTCTCGCATGGTCAAACGTGCCCAGGACACATTAAGCTGCTGCAGCTTACCTGCACCCTGGCCTCGGTCAGGTTGATCTTCATGGCCAGCTCCTCCCGGGTGAAGACGTCCGGGTAGTGAGTCTGGGCGAAGACAGCCTCCAGAGCCTCCAACTGCATGGACACAAAACACCATTATACTTTAAATAACTTTATTTTCTATTAATTGATTTGTTTGTACTTTTCTTTCTTTCCTTCTTTCCTTCTCATCCTTTATTCTCATTATCCTCATCAGGTCTATACTGTTTGAAAATATAAAACTCTTAAACTCGCTTGTACATTTGATGGGGTTAACAGAATATTTGATAACAAAAGTAAAATAGTCTAAAATAGAGGGAAATATTGGCCTAATATCAAATTGTCTGCATGCCAGAGAGGGCAATTTACAGTTATGCCCACGCATGATCTTCAAAAGTACTAATATTAATTTATAAAGGTTTCCTAATGTTGTATTTTTATTTTTCATGTGTCTGAAGCAATTATATTATTTCTTTTAAGTTGTTAAAGTATAAAACCAATTTTAAAGGCCTTATTTTGTGTCCATGGTAGTTACCTGGAAAAGCACAATAAGTCCTTCATTATAAAAACTTCGCCAATTGTTTTATTCTTTTTCTATATATTAACATTATACCTGTTTGGCTTTAACTTAAGTTTCAGACATTTCTTGCTCGCTACTTCTCTCCTGGAAAATAATTACCTGTTGCAAAGTAAATGTTGTTCTGTTTCTGCGCTGTTTTCTACGTAGAAATCCATCATCAAAATCAGCCGGGGCGTGGTTGCCAAAACTGCTTGAATTCACTGAAAAAATAAAGTTTATTAGCGAGAAATCAGTCACTCAATTAAATGAATTCACAAAGTTTCATTTAAATTAAGTCAGTAAATGTGTGAGAGAGAGAAGAAAAAACTATAAATATTGGCCGGAGCAGACAAGATTAGGGCATTTATTCTCTGGCACATTTTGTATTTCCATTAGTTGCATGAAACATTGATGTCGGGTGTCTGAGGGGAACCATGACGGACTAAGAGCCATGACACCCAACATCTGTGCCCGGGACAAAACGCCCCCTCTGCCCCGGGGCCAAACCACCAGCGCTTCTCACCAAAACAGCCAGCAGATTGACACAGCAGAGGGAAAATCAGACTTAACCCTTTATACACACGTTTTCAATTTGTGAGAAAGAGAAAATATCCGTTTATTTTTAGACGTTTGATGGAATTATGGAGATGCTTTAAGCGTCCAACCTATTTTCAATGTTAATTTTTAAAGATGGGGAAATATCTGTTTTCATATATAATAATGACGATCTCTAACTGCGGATGAGAGCATGGACATCTTTTAATTTATCACCGCATAAAAATAGGGTTTGCCTTTATAGGCCTCTGTCACTTTTATAATAACTTGAAGATGATCATAAAATAAATGGTCAGGCCTTTCTTTTGTCGCTCCGACAACAACAAAACACACATCGTGTGCGCGAAGGTGCGCAGCAAAACTTTTCAGACTCTCCTTTAAGAGAGAGAGATTTAAGAATAACTTAGAGCTAAAACATTTTTTTTTAAAATGAAACCGACTCGAAACGATGTCGTAAAAATTGCAGAAGAGGAAAACTTACATGTGTTGGAGCGACAGCACTCTCCGTCTAGCTGAGGCGGACAGTGAAAGTAGAACATCCTGGCGCGTCTCTGAGCTGCGAACTGAACCTGGAACAGAGACAAAAGTTTCAGCCCGACGCCTCGGATCGGCTACAACTGCATCTGCGATTCAGATCTGTGGTGGGGGAGGAATTTGAACACATTAAATCGTCCTAAGAAGAGGCGGCACCGTGCGGAACTTGGGAAGATTCAAAGTTGATGCGAGAGCGCATCCTACCTGCAGTGAGGATGCTGATGTGGGTGACTTCCCGCTCTAGAGAGAGGATGCTGCTGCACTTCCTCTGACTCTCTGACTCTCTGTCTGGGAGTGTCCAGATCTCTCTCTCTAGCTCTCTCTCCCTCTCTCTCTCCCCCCCCCCCACACACACACAGACATACGCATCTCTCTCATCTCTCACTGTCTCTCTCTGGGAGTGTCCAGATGTCTCTATAACTGTATAACTGTCTACAGAGTGTTAAGGCTTTCAGCTAGTGTCGCAGAATCTCACGCCTAATTGGTCCTAATCGGATTATCACGGCTTTGTCTCTCTCACCCCCAACCCCTGGTGTGTGTGTGTGTGTGTGTGTGTGTGTGTGTGTGTGTGTGTGTGTGTGTGTGTGTGTGTGTCAGAGAAAGACAGAAAGAAAGAGAGAGAGAGAAAGAGGGGAGATATACCCAGGGTGGCAAACGGCAGCTCTGCTCTGGTGCCAAAAAAATTCATCACAAGTGATTGTTATTCCAGAGTCAAGCATATTCCCTAACCATAAACATGCACACATACCCGCTGCACTTTTTATTTGGTTCTTTCATATATTAAAAAAAGGAGGATGACTGCTTTTGGGTTTTAGATTGACTGTCGGGTGGGTTAATTGCTCGTCAGGGTGTGTTAGGGGGTCCACTTTACAAGGGGTTGCGCATGTAGAACACTCACAAGGCCAAATTTTTGATTTTGTTCACAGCAAGGGGTCCTGCGATTTATTTCGCTTCCTCAGATAAATGATCTGCTGCGGGACCCTTTCAATTAGTTTTAAAGCGCATCTGGGACGGCAGAGCGCAGACGCCATGCGTCTCTGAGGTGGAGGCAAAATGAGGCTTCGAGAAGCAGCTGAAATTTAGAAGAGGAGTGCGGGATTGGACTAAACCACATAAAGTGCAGAAAATCCCTTCTAATGGCGCGTAATTGGTTCTGTAATATCATTACAGGCGGATAATGGCCAGTTACAGGGCCCCGCGCTATTAAGGGTTTCCCTGGCGTGCAGCGTTTATGTTATTAAAGGGGGAATATAATGATATTTTAGTTATTAAATGCGCGTAATTAATTTATGCACCACTGAAAATAAAGTTGTTATTATGACCTCGGCGAGGTGCGTGGAGAAAATTGAAATCAAATAACGGTTGATAACTTTATCCCAATATTTGGTCTAGACAACTCTGACAAGAGTGCAGGCCTGCAGTGTGTGTATCTGCTTCCTGTCAGCGCCTCTCCTCTCCCTCCTCTGATGGTTACTTAAATGACTAATGAAATTAAAAACTCATCTTCGTTGGTTAGAAACAATTTTATAAGTAAACTTTAACAAGGTTTTCAGATTTGGGGTCCCACGTTTACATGATTTCTCTATCAGAATACATTTCAGGACCTTGGTCAGCACCACAATCTCACACTCTAGTGAAACTCTAATTCTTGCAGGATAGTGAGCAAAAAAAATAAATATATAATATATATATAAAAATGTAAACATTTAACCTTTATTGTGGTGAATATAGAAATTTAATCTGTATTTACTGACTGATCATCTTCCGTCTTCCTTTACCCTGAACCTGTGTGCATTTCAAATAACCAAACAGGAAAGTAGTTACAAAGGTTTATTGCATACAATATATGCAAGACAGTGCATTCAAAGCTTTATTTTTATTTTTTTATAAAACATGGCAGCAACATAACTTTGCTTTTTTGCCAGTTGTTCACAAATAATTGGAGGTAGGTCATTTGAATATCATTTTAATACCCCCATCTCCCCACCCCTACCCTATAATTGTTCATAGTTTAAGACAAGCCATTCAGTACAAAATCTACCAAACCTGTGGTGATTTGGTCATATTTACAAAATGACAAACTACTGTATTTTATAGAAGCATATTACAAAATATGACAGAAGTGAGAACGTTAAGATACAAATGGTGAGTAAACCATTACTCAAGGTAATTAAGTTGTAACTTTCAGACAAATAGAAAACAAGTGAATTCAAGTATAACCAGGCACAAACAACACTAAACAGCAACAGAAGTAATTGCGATAGCGCTTGAACAAGCACTAAAGTCTAACCAACTCAGATTGCAGCTCAAACTAATTATACACGGTCCCTTCAAGAGTTGGTTAACTGATAATTAACAGATAATCATGGGAGTTTATCAGCTAACCCAATAGTCCACTGTACAGTAAAACAGCCTTCCTTCAATATGGTTTATTCATAACTGTAATAATGTTAAATTACCCATTTTGATCTAGTGTGGCTGATGTACTTTTGTCAGATGGACTTCTCAGTTTGACAGCCAACAACATAAAAAAGTACAGAAAAACAAGGTGATATTGCAGACTGCAGACTTATAGCTAACAAGTACTCAAATATGCATCACAGTTCAGTCTTTCATCTGTGCTTCGCTCAGCGGAAGTGCTCCTTCAGTCTCCAGATGCCCTCCTGACCAGAAGTCCTATGGAACTCACAGATGCTCCTGAGCAGCTCTCTGAAGACAGGCGCCTGTTGCTGGGTCAATCTTGGTTTGAAATACTCCAGCACTTCCTTGGTGGTGGCCTGTCCGTCCACATTCGCCTGGAAAGCTACGAAGTTGCGCAGGTCGACCAGCAGCTCGTCGTGCTCAGTGGGCGGAGCTGGGGAGGAGCTCGTTCCCGGAGCCTCAGAGCCGTCCTCCTGTTCCTCTGCTTCTGCTTCTTCTCTTTGGCTGGAGGGCAGGCTGATGTGATTGCGCACTCTCATCTTGGCCAGCAGAGAGGAGGAGGAGAGTGGGGCGGAGTTTGACTCACTTTCTGGCCCCTCCCCACTGAAATGAGCTCCTGAACCAGGCTTCTTTGACACAGACTTATTTATAATAGCAGCATCCTGAAGAGAGAAACAAATGAATTTACACAACATGGCACAAAATGCAAAATAACTGCCATAATTGTGCTACATATCTTTTTTCACAATAACACTACTGTTACCTTGCATTTGCTGGGAGTAGGGACAGACTGAACAGAAGGTGCAACCAGGAGAGAATTCTTCTTTTGTCCAAAACGTTTCCTGAGAGAGCAAACGAGGGGCAAACTTAAGATATGTTTTATTTTAAATTAGATAAGTGCAGTTCTAAACTTTTCCAGTGTGTGAGACTGTGTACCTTGCAGGTGGAGGAGGGGGTCTATTGAAGGGCAGCCTGCACTTTTGGCGAGAAACCTTAAGAGCTTTCATGGCATCTTTGGCCACCCTGTTGGCTTCTGCCTCTACAAGAACATAGTCAGGGTTGGAGGACTCCATGATGGTGTCATGCTGCATCACACTGTGGATACCTGAAGAAGACGAGTAACAAAAATAAGAGTCAACAAAGTAGCTTATTATTTTACTGAAAAAACCATGCCAGGATATGGCTGATGGGGTTTGTGCACAAAAAGCTTACCAGATTTCTTGAAGAGCTTTGCCAAGACATAATCGTCGGATTTCTTCTGGTCACCGGTCTCATTGTCTTCTCCCTCCCCTTTCTTATAGGTTCTTTTCTTCACCAAGTGAGAGATGCGTTGGCCTTCAAACCGAGCATCCTGCGTGCGTTTGCGTTTCTTATGTTTACGTTTGTCTGAGTCAGCGGAGTCGCAGTGCTTCCTCTTCTCCCTGTGTTTCTGTGGGCTAGTCAGGGTAGAGTCTTTGTCTCTGTGTTGGTGAGAGCTGGATGAGTTTGAGTTTTTGAGTCCTGGCTGGGCTGCATCCCAGTCTCTGTTATTTTGCCCTGTATGCTGTGTATTTGCTGAAATATTGCCATTATGGTTGGTGCTTTGACTGTCCGTCGGGACATTTGGTTCACCCTGAGAGTTTTTATTGCACGGAGAACTGTTTCCATCCCTTAATGCAGGAATGTTTATCGAGGAGTGTTTATGTACATGGGTGCCATGGTTTGCCGTGTGTGACGGCCTTGGTCTTTCAGGTTTCTTGGGTGCCTTGACATCAGAACCTGTACCTGTAAGAGAATCATACCAAAAAAACCTTTTAGGTGGATTCTTTTCTGAAGAGATTTGGATACTAATAACTAGACAATAGAATGTTTCTCTGGTAAGAACAAAACGGACAAACAAAAAGAAAAAATTGCAGACCTGCAAATATGGCACTGGTCTCTGTTCCCTGAGCTCCATCCGGGTCTGACAGGGTGAAGAGCTCATAGATGTCATTAGACTTGAAAAAACGTCTTTGTTTGGGGTCCTTCAGAACACGATTGGTCAGAAATTGTTTGAAGATTTGCCTGAATTACAACAGATAAAAAACAGAATTAGATACTTTACCCCAGCAGGCAACCCTGATCCTCTGTCACCACAGAGTAGTTTGGCTGATGGATGAGAAAATTAGTTAACCGCACTACTGTAGGTACCAAAATAGAATCCCCACAGTTTTTCCAACTTGCTTTTTGAAAGCACTTCACAGACCCAAACCAACCAGAGCAACAGTTTAGCAGTCCTAAATTGGCCATTTAATAATGCAGGAAAGCTTTTCAATTACTGAGAACTGGGATAGTGCAAGTAGTAATACAGTGATGTGAGCAATTAGTCATGTTATTACCAACATTCATGAATATGTGAAGTCAATGGAAAGGCAACAAAAATACAAAACCAGCTGAGAGAAAGCACAAAAGACAGTGCTTGAGTTTTGTGTTTGAATATCCTGTATATGGAAGTGCTCATGGTTAAGCATCACGTTAAACAATATAAAAACTGTGCTGACCTGTGGTAGATTTTCTCCTCGATGGTCCCTGCAGTCAGCAGTCTGTAGATCGTCACTTGCTGCTTCTGACCAATCCTCCATGCTCGCTCCCGTGCCTATGAACAACACAATACATTCAAATAAATAATTAAATTAATTATCTGAAACGCACAGTCAAGTTTTTTTATTCAGGCTTAAAGTAAACAAGGAAGAAATGGTGTGAATCAGGAAAAGCTGGTGTCCAACTGGAAATTTAAGTAATTTTTAAGTTGCAAATAACAGATGTACATAAACAGAAAAATAAAAATCCATGAGAAATAATGCATCTAG